AGGCAGAAGCGGTGAGCAACGAACGCTCAACGTTTAATCGTTTAACACACAGAGCGACAAACAGCGCCCAGCGGCCCCGAGTCGCGGGGCGGGCGGCGGAAGGGACTCGGAGCGGCGCAGCGCCGCTCTCCCCGCACGGAGACCGGCGGCCGCGGCCGCCATTGACGGAGAGCCCGCGCTCGGCCCCGCCTCCCCCGTTCTCCCATTGGTCGGTCCGCCGAACGGGGCGGGTGCTCCGCGCGGGGTCCTTTCCGTGCGCGGTCGCGCCGTCATTGCGTCATCAGCGCGCGTCCCGCATGGCCCCGGCCCGGCTGCCTGCGGCGCTGCCCCGTGTCATGCGCCTGCTCCGCTTCCAGCGTCCCGGGGCGGCCGGGCCCCGGCTGGGGCTGCAGGAGGACGAGGGCGGGGACGTGGTGGCCTGTGCGGACCGCTCTGCAGGGTCTTCGTTTCCTTAGGCGGAAAATAGGAGGATGCAGGAGCTGAGGGGCGATGGGAGGGGAGCGTCCTGCCGTGCCGCCGGCAGCCTGGGGACCGCGTGCTGTGGGTGCCGGCACGAAACTCCTCCATCCGTCAGCACAGGAGCTGCGGTTCAGGCTGCAGCGGCAGGAACTCGGCGCAGCCCTGCAGAGAGCGGTCCGGCAGCTGGAGAAGATGACAGCCGTGGAGTGTGAGAGCCTCAGCAGTGTCTGCAGCCTGCGAGGAGCCGAGCGGGGCTGGGAAGAGGAAAGTGTGCGAGTCCCGGGCAGGGACGCAGAATGGCAGCGTCAGCGGCAGGACCGGCTGCATCCTCCTCCACTCCTGACGCTGTGCGCTGGTTTCCTTTGAGAAGCGCCCCAATGTCACCTCTGTGGGGTTCCGCAGGACACACAGACATGGGGTGAGTTTAGGTTGGATCTCAGGAAACACGTCTTTAGAGAAAGGGTTGTGAAGCACTGGAATTTGTTCCTCAGGGCAGTGATTGAGTCACCATCCCTGGGTGTGTTTAAAAACCGTTTGGATGTGGTGCTCAGGGACGTGATTTAGAGGAGGTTGTTAGAGTGAGGGTAGGATGGTCAGGTCGCGGTTGGACTCGGTGGTCTTTAAGGTCTTTTCCAGCCTGATTCTATGATTCTGTAGGGACGCTGTGTGTTGAACTGCTGTTTATTGCAGAGCACCAGCACAGGGCAGGACTGGAGACTGGGAAGACGGGGGTGGTGAGGGCAGTGTGTGGCTGTCGGCTCCTCGGGTGGTACCAGCACACATCGCACACAATCACAGAATGGCTCGGGTTGGATGGACCTCAAGGATCATCAATCTCCAACCCCCTGCCAGGCGGGGCCCCCAACGTCCCCATTTAATACCAGACCGGGCCGCCCACAGCCTCATCCAACCTCCCGCGTTCTGCCCCTCCCGGGATCTGCCCCTTATGGGCGGGCATGGAATACTTGGGACCCGGAGTCCCTCCCCGCTGCGGGGCGTTGGCTCCGCGTCGCGGCCCGGCCCGGCAGAGCTCCGTTCCGCGCTGCAGAGGCGTTTCCCGTGCTGTCGGTGAGTGACCCCTCCGGAACGCGTGGGGCCGCCGGGCCCGGAGGACGTGGGATGGGGATGGGGAGGAACGCGGCACGCGGAGCTGCGGTGTCCCGGTCCGGCCGCGCCGCCCCGCTGAACGCAGCCGGTTCTCAGCCGCACCTCCGCGTTGTGCCGCTGTTGCGGTTTTGCGTTGCGGAGGCGTTTGCCCCGAGCGCGGCTTGACCTTTCCTTCCCTGTGTTTGGTTTCTTTCTGCCGGCTCCTTTGCGCTCAGAACGTTTTTGCCTCCCTCCCTTTTTGACCTTTCTTTTGTGCTGCTCGTTTAACAGCCCTGCTTCCGCATACAGAGCGACCGAATGATCAAACAGCATCAGAAAAACATCTGTCAGGTGCAAAGCCATTACTTAGTGCCCAAAACAAATATTAAGACAATCTGGTTGGCTTTGCATTTCTGCCAAGGACTCGAGAAGGGCGGAAGCTTTATTTTTGTGATGCCTGGGTCATAGGTTGCCCAGAGATCCACAATTCCATGAAGGAGAGAACAAGTCGAGTGCTGAGGAGCGCCTGTGTGGCAACGCCGTGCTGAGCTTGCTTGGCAGGGCAGCGCACTGTGATGATGTTCCAGATGTGTAAGAGTCACATGCAGGGCGAGCACAGGCACTGCTGCTCTTGCACAAGGGCTGGGCTCACTGACAGCAGCACAGGAGCGGCCGTCTGCTGCTTGTAACCTCAGCCAGGCTGTCACTCTAGGAATAAAAAAGGCATTTCTTACGCCCTGCTGCCTTGATCTGCATCCCTCTCTCACGCAGAGCTGCTGTCGTGCTGTGAGGCAGCCCTTGGTGGTTCAGTGCGCTGCAGTGTGTGTTTGTGGGCATTCTGTAGTGCTGTTCAGGCGTTGCTTTCAGATTGGGAAATCATGTGTTTATCGCTGTGCCTTACAGTCACTTAACCAGCACCACGAAATGGCAGGGGTGGCACCTTCTAAGAGCTGCTTGCTAGAAAACTGATGCTCTCTCTGGTTTCTATTGCAGTTGCCAGCAGCTGGTGGACCTGAACAATAAGAGATTGACCAAGCACTTGAGCGATGGTGAGTGTGCCTGTTTGCTGTGCCACGCTGTGCCAGGCATTTGCCCTGATCAGATAAATGTAGGGTAGGGCAGGAAGAGCACTTTCTTTTTATGAGTGGTAAATTTGTAACATCTTTCTGTTTCCTCCTATAGAGGACAATGCCCCACACATATCTGCTTTTCCTGCTTGGGAGTTAATAAAAAATCCAACTGAATGTTAGCTTATAGAGGAAGTATTTTTCCAGATCAACTCTCTGGGCATGCTGCTCCCTCCTGGTTCATCCTACGGGGTTCCACCCATGCAGTGGTTATTCCTGTGCCTGTTTTCCAAAGCCCAGGCTTCGTGAAGGTCAGCACTGTTTTGCTGTTGATCTTTGTTGGAACAGAGGTGGATCGTAGGAGGCAGTGTGATCCCACAGAGGTGGCACTGAGCAGGAGGCAGGAGAAACCTGTTTGTGAATGGCCGTTTTGAGCCAAACGCAGCATGTTGTGTGTGTTGTGGAAGCACTGCATGGCTGATGTTGGAGGGGACCTCTGGTCCAGCCCTGCTCCAACAAAGCTACCAGAACTGGTGCCCAGGACCGCGTCCAGATGGGTTTGGAGATCTCCAAGAGGAGACACTGCAGCCTCTCTGGGTGCCTGTGCCAGTGCTGCAGCTTACAGTGCAGGAGTGCTCCTGATGTTTGGTGGCAGCCTCTGGTCCTGGCAGTGGGCTCCACGGGATGCAGCCTGGCTCCATCCTCTCTGCCCTTGCAGGATTGATGGCTGTGGCTGGGTTCCCCCTGAGCTGCCCTTCTCCAGGCTGAGCAGCCCCCTCTCTTTCAGCCTCTTGTCCTAGAAGAGGTGTTCCAGTCCCTTCACCATCTTGGTAGCCCTCCATTGGACTCTTTGCAGTATGTCCAGCTGTCTCTTGGACTGGGAGCCCAGACCTGGACTCTGTTCTCCAGGTGCAGCCTCACCATTGCCAAGCAGAGCAAAAGTAATGGTGCAGAATGATGGTCCTTACCTGGTACAAGTCAGGAGTAGGGCTGTGATGGGAGCACACTGTGATTGACGTGGAGAACTGCTAGGAAGAAGGCCTGGTGGGCCTGAACACAGATGCCAGATGGTCCAGCTGTTGTTTCACTGGAAACCAGATCCTCCATGGGCAGCGATGTGGAGAAATGTTCTCTTTGTAGTTGTGCCTCTGTGGCTTCTTTCTGATATGCCTGGGAAGTCCCACTAGAACAGGCTGCTGTGTGAGACAGAAGTGAGAGAGAAGCATCATTTGTGTGGGTGGAGTTTTATCATCTCTGTGTTCACCTTTTTATTTTTATTTTTTATTTATATTTTTCCAATTCAACTCTACATCTGCATCGGTGCCAGTCTGCCTTTGCTAAATCCTTTTCTTGTGGCCTTAGGCAACAATCAAGGGGGTCTCAAGTTTCAGCCCTGAGCAAGAAGCGCAGGCACTCAGGAAGGCCATGAAGGGCTTTGGTAAGTTGATCTCCCTCCACAGATCAACTTTATTTTTTCCCCAGCACTGGGAATGGCTGCTCTTGTGGTTTGTTAGAGGGAAGCGTAGCTGCTTGCATTGCTCCACTGCACAGCTGCCCTAAAAATCGTTGGGCAGTGGAAACAGAAGTGCCCTTCATGCCCTGAAATGCAGCTGCTCTGGTGGTGTTGGTCCCAGCAGCTTTGTGTGCACAGATGGAGGCCTGGGGCTGTTGAGAGCCGGCTGTGTGAGGGACAGGAGGTGGCACAAGAGCAGAGGGCACTTCTGATTCTTGTGCAAGCAGCCTGACCAGCTTCCATTTGTTTCTTGCAGGCACGGATGAAGATGCCATCATCGACATCTTGACCAAACTCAATGTTTCCCAGCGTCAGCAAGTTCTGATCACCTACAAGAGCACTATTGGCAGGGTAGGTGCTCTGCAGAGATGTGAACGTGGTTGTGTCACTTGGTGAAAAGTGAAAAATGACCCAATCCCCACAAGAGAAAGGTCAGCAGAGACTTTACCTGACCAAGGCTGTTTTGTTCCTGTTCAGTTCAGAGCAGTTGTTGATGCAAGGAGGGTTGGAGCCTGAAGAGAAGTGCTGCACAGCTCAGTTCCTTCTGTCCTCGAAGGCCGTGCCTTCTGCCAACTGCTTTCTCCTCTCTTGGCCTTCTAGGATTTGATCGATGACTTGAAGTCGGAACTGAGTGGGAATTTTGAGAGGGTGATCATTGGGATGATGACTCCCACCACCATGTATGACGTGCACGAACTAAAGAGGGCTGTGAAGGTTTGGAAGTCTTCCTTTTGTATTGCTTAAGTTCTGGCCGAGGACTCGCTGCTTTGTTATGTATGACTTCTCATTTATTACTACCTCTTAAAGAAACCCGGCTGCACGTCACGAGCAGTTGCTGGTATCTGAAATCTTGCCTTGGCGATTCCTAGGGAGCAGGAACAGATGAAGGCTGCCTGATTGAAATTCTGGCTTCTCGCACCAATGAAGAGATTCGTCGCATTAATGAGAACTACAAGCTTCGTAAGTCGAACAAAAGGCCAGGCCTTGTCCTGCTGCCTGCCATAAGTGTGTGTGTGCAGGCAGATGTGAAGGAAGGAGTCTGGGGAGCTTTCAGGTGTGACAAACTTGCCAACCTGGGTGTTGCTGTTTGTCCAAAGAGAAGCTAGACTGGGATTTCACCAGCAGCTGAACTGGTGGAGCTGACATGGGGAGGAGCATTCTGTCTGTCAGCAGGACGTGTGGCTCTCTTGTCAGCTTCTTGCTGTCTGTGCTTCTTAATTGGAGGCTGCAGCACTGATGATGATGGCTGGAGCGCTGCAGTGATGCTGAGAGCCCTGGCACAGTTCTGCACTTAACTAGCTTACAGCTGGCAAATGTTGTGGGCAGCAGCCAGGTGGTGGCCCTGCTCCTAACGGATGCTGTGTGTGTTCTTGCTAGAATATGGCTGCTCCCTTGAGGATGACATCGTGTCTGACACATCTTCCATGTTTCGAAGGGTCCTCGTGTCCCTCGCAACGGTGAGCCACGCTGAGGGGAGAAGGGGCTGAATGTTCAGAGCTGTGGGCACGGCTCTGCACTCAGTGGTGAGGAGCTCCAGGCTGGCTTTTTCTCACCCTGTGTGTCCCATGGCTGCTCCTCAAGCCCAGCTTCTCCAGGGAGGGAGCTCTGACTCTGGGTGTGTGTGAGTGCTGTGGGCTCTTCTTAAATGCCCCAGTAAAGTGGGTTGCTGCTCATTTCGGAAGAAAGCCCGAAGCACACCTGAGCTGTGTTTCATTTGTGAGCTGTGTTCCCTTTGAAGGACTCCATTATCCATCTCCAGCAGCTGTTCCTGAACGGGGAATTCCCAGGAGTTGCTTCCAGTAGATGCTCTGGTGAACGGAGTCTTCTATCCTTGTGTCTTTGCAGGGAAACAGAGATGAAGGCATGTATGTGGATGAAGGCCTTGCTCACCAAGATGCTCAGGTGTGTAGTAACGTGCTTCCCAATCTGTTCTTGTGCATGTGATGCGTGGTGAAGAGAAGCCAACCTGTGACATAGGAATAATGGTTCTAGTCTTGTTTGCAAGTCTCTAATGAGAGATCTCTAGGCAGGCTGGTTACTTGGCAGGGGCAGTGACATTTTGGTTGTGGGTTGCCATGCCTGGTTGGTGCTGGTTGGAAAATCCCTGTGATCTGGACAAGTACAGACCAGCAGTGCTCTAGCTGCAGGAGTTTAAGATCTCCTGTACTTCAGTCTTCTCCATGAGCCTTACTTTGTCACCCATAATGTCTTTAAGTGCCTGTACGAAGCGGGGGAGAAGAAATGGGGAACAGATGAGGTGCAGTTTATGTCCATCCTCTGTACACGGAACAGGTATCACCTGCTGAGAGGTAGGACCCCCCTGCACAGCGTCCTGGCTTTTCCTTTCCTTCCTCGTTTGTGTGATGCTCTTGTAGGAGCTCCGTAGCTGTTCAGTAGCTGTGAACTCCTCTGAGGCAGCAGGTGTCCTGCAGTGAGCCCCAGTGCATCCATTCCATTTGGGCTGCTTTATTCCCTCCTGAGACTGAAAGGGGCTTCAGAAACCTCAGTACAACTGGCTGCTGCTCCAGCATGGAAAGCAGAGATCATGAGGTGTGACTGCCATTGGGGCAGGGGGGAGAGAAGCTAAGAAACTTGATTGGCAGCACAAAGCAGCAGGTCTTGAAAATGGTAACAGCTGTGGTAGGCAATTAGCAAGTCTGTTAGCAATGAAAATGGATTATTTCTGTGGGACGATTCTGGTTTAGCTGACAGTGCTGCAGGAATCATATGGTGTTCGTGCATCACATGAGGAGCTTGTTGTTGTAAAGAAGTCCTTTGAATCTCTCTGACTTTCTGCCGTGGACTCTTCCTCCCAGTTTTTGATCTGTACAGAGGCATTGCTAACAAGGACATAACAGACAGCATTAAATCTGAGATGTCAGGAGACCTGGAAGATGCTTTGCTGGCTGTGGGTGAGTGCTCTGCTTTTAAACGTTGTCCACAAAGGAATGAAATGATGAGAGGTGCTGTGAGTCCCCTTGAGTGACTGTTATGAATAGGTTTGTCTTTGTTTATGGGCACAAAGCCAGGCTGGGTGGGACGTGCAGCACCCTGTGTAGAGGGAGGTGTCCCTGCCTACTGCAGGGGGTTGGAACTCGATGATCTTAGGGGTCCCTTCCAACCCAAACCACTCTATGATTCTGTGCTTTACAGACCCAGTCAGGTGAGAAAGCTTTGTACCTTATGGCACGGTGTGCTTGGCCAAAGGGAGCTTTGGCAGCAGAGGTTTGCTGTCAGGAGGCACGAAAGCCTTTGTGCAAATCCTGCAGGCACAGAGACAGCAGCTCACAGCACATCACTGTGGATGCCTGCACTGCAGCTGCTGTTTGTTAACCTGGAGTTGCATCTTGACAGAAGAAACACCTGCACCCAGAAGGTGCTGCATTGGTGTGGAAAACCTCCTGCTGGCCTTAATTCTCTTGTTAATGCTCTTAATCGTCTCTCTTGTCTCTCCTCCAGTCAAGTGCATGCGAAACAAGCCTGCATACTTTGCTGAACGGCTGTATAAATCCATGAAGGTAAAGAGATTGTGGAGTGAGATTGCTTGCTTCTTTCTTGCATTTTCGTGCTGGAGTCAGCAGCATCATGGCAGTCAAGATGGAAGCTGCAGCCAGCCAGGAGACTGGCTTTTCTAGGAAAGCTCAGGCTTTTCTGCACATCAGAGTAACAGTCCAGGAGCAAGCTGCTAACGGTCACAAAAAGGCTCTGATTAAGAGCAGCTCCTGCACAGGATGGGCCCTGAGCCCTTTGTGTCTGCAGGTGATTCTCCAGCAGTTCTGTGTCGGCTGCACGCGGCTGCTTTGCTTTCCAGGGCCTGGGAACAGACGACAGCACTCTGATCAGAGTGATGGTGTCCCGCTCCGAAATTGATATGCTGCATATCAGAAGGGAATTCCTGACCATGTATGGGAAGTCTCTCCACTCCTTCATCAAGGTAGACTTGTCAGTGTTCAACACAAACACTGGGATTTTCTGAGTGCCTTTAAGGAGGTGATTCCCCCCCCGACACCTGTTGGGTGTTTTAGAGCAGCTGAGATGAGGCAGACATTACAAAAACGTGCTGAAAATGTTCCTGAATGCTCTTAAATTGTCTAGAGGATAAAAACACCGCAAAGAAAAATCTGCCTTAAGAACAGTTTGACTTTGGTAGAACTTGAAAATTATTCATATTCCTTTTTTTCTTTTCTCAGTAACTCAGTTCACTCTGGCCTTCTCTGCTCCTCTCCTCTGCTTTCTTTTTTCTGTGCTCTTCTCCCTCTTTCCTTCCTTCCTTCTTCCATCTGCCCTTCCTTCTTTTGCTGTTCCCTCTGTTCCCCCCTCTTTCTCTTGTCCTTTTTCAATCTGCTCTTCTTACCTGTAACCCCTCTTCTGTTCTGCCCTTCCTGCTCTGCTCTCATTCATCACTCCTGTGTTCTTTCCCCCTTACAAGCTCCTCTCTTCCCTCTTTTCTTTGTTCTGCTCCCTCTCCTCTCCTTCTCTTTCTTCCTCTTTATTCTCCCTGCTCCTCTCTCTCCTCCTTCCCCTTTTTTCTTCTCATTTCTTCACCTTTATGTTCCCAGGGAGATTGCTCAGGAGACTACAGGAAGGTTCTGCTGAAGCTCTGTGGCGGCGAGGATTGAAGGATTCCTGGCGTACGTCCTGTGCTGTGGGAAGGAGGGGATCATAAGGATTTCTCTCAATTGGTTTTGTTTTTTTTTTTTCCCTCTCATTAATTGCTGAGTAGTGACTTTGATTAATTAATGCTCTGGTTGGGTAATGGCAGTTCCATTTTACCTTTAACTTCTGCACTTTTGCTTACAACACCCCTGTGCAACTAACTGAGCTATAAAGCCTTGTTTGAACAGAATGCTTTATCCAAATCTATGCAAGCTTTGTTATTTCCTTGCTGTCCCTCTGTGTTTACCAGTCAAATCCTGTCAAAATCCTGTGAAATGAAGCAAATTTGGACATGGAATGTAGGAATTTGCTGAGGGAAGAATTAACTTTGTCATTATATGGAGAGAATGCAGCTGGGCTTCAGCTTTTGGAAGATAATTAAAAAAAAAAAAAAAATCAAATTTGATGAAATGGTCTTTTCCAACCTAAATGATTCTGGGGTCACCAAATGCAATGCCAGGCCGTTCCCACCATGCCCACTACCCACGTCCATCAGTGGTTCTTGCAGAGCTCCAACTTGTCAGCTTGCTCTCTGAGTGTGGAACAAAACCAGCAGTGCTGGACTTCGTGTGCTTGTTGCCTGTGGGTCTGGAGGTGGGGAAGCCGCCCCTGGTGCCTGCAGAAGGAACAGCAGCGCTGTGCCTGGTCACAGATCAGCCTCACAGCCTTGGTCTGCCTGCCTTGACTGTGGCAGTGTAAGCCATCACGCTTGTGTGTCAAGCCTTTGCCCTCAGTTAATTGCTGTCACTGGAAGGGTTCCTACGAAGGAATGAGCTGTAAAGCACGTCTCATCAGCGCTGCCTGATGTACTGAGCTGCTCTGGGGTCACCAAATGTGCCAGCACCTCCTGCCGGGACTTCTGGATAACGCTGCCCTTAGAAACTCTGCTTTTGGTGCCTTTGTGTGATGTGAAATTCCCTACCGACCTCTGAAATAAATTTTTCCCCCAAGCTTAGCTCCCGTCTGCTAAGCTGTGAACACTGCAGAACGTGGTTCTTGTTTGCTTTTGCAAAGTGTGACTGTTGGTGAATAACGCGGTGCATCGCAGACCGCCTGCTGCCCTCTGCCGTGCTCAGGAGCTTTTCTGAGCTGGGCTGCAGCCCCACGGCACAGCCTCGCATCTGGTGACGGACTGAAGCCGGAGGATCCTGGCAGCAGAGGACGCTGCTGCCCCATAGGAGGACTCGCAGCTCTACCGACCTCATTGCTGGTGAGGAGGCAGAGGTGCCCCCAAGCGATGAATGCAGGCCACCCAACCTCACACCTCGTGTGGTTCACCAGGAAGAAAGGTGGGCACGGGTAATACTGCATCAAAAGTGACTGCAGGGTGTGGGGGCCCGGGTGATGCTGTGGGATGGGTGTGAAAGGAGGGCGCTGGGGGTCCGTGCCAGTCCTTGGCTGCAGGATTGGTGCTCATGGCAGCACCTTGGGTTCTGTGGCTGTGGGACTGGCTGTCCCTTCCTCCTCCTGCCATGGTGGGGGCTGCAGCACCCCGATGTGTCACCTGGCTGCCCCCAGCATGGTGGGGCTGAGGAGAGGGCTGAAGTGCAACCAGGTGAGGGGAAGTCAGCTTTGGGGGAGGAGGGGGGGGGGGAGGCTGCCAGGGGTTCTGTCTGCAGCCTGGAGCAGCACAGGCATAAGATGGACAGGTAGGGGCAGGGATTGGGATAGAGCAGGGACAGGGGCAAAGAAGCAGGGCCGGGATAAGAACAAGGATTCAGCAGGGGCAGGATGGGCAGAAAAGGGGCAGGACAAGAGTGCAGCTACTGCAAGAGATTTGAGTATGGAGAGAGGACAGGAAGGGACTCTGAGCATCCCGAGATGGGCAATGAGCAGGAACAGAGGAGGAATGGAAGGGGTAACAGGAAGGGATGGGATACGGCACGAGGACTGCAGTGAGCTCACACAGGAGCAGCCCTGGAAGGGCGCAGAGGTGCTGTGGGTGCGTGGGGAGGGGAGGCTGAGAGCAGGGTGCTGAGGGGGTGGGTCAGTTCCAGAATCCAGGTCTGGGGGAAGGTGCAGATGTGCTTCTTCGTGTGTGTGGAAACGGGCCAGGAGGGCTTTCTCCATCCCCTTCCCAGCAATGGAGGTGATGTGGTTCCCTGGGTTCTCCCTCAGTTCCCGTTCCCAGAGGCACACGAGGGCGCCAGTTCGTGTCCTGTGTCCCACTGCTCCAGGCCGTGCCCCGGAGCCCCCTGTGTGCCCACTGCTTCCTGGCTCAGGATGGCCTTGTGTTCCCCCAGCAGCATCCATTCTCCTGCCTCCTTTCCCCAGCAGATCCCATCTGGGACAGACGGAAGAGACCCTGTGGAACACGAGTGGTTGAGGGCGTGGGCTCATCTCCCCCCCACCATACCAAAGGGCTGAGCACGCCCCGGCTCCACGCATCGAGTGCTGCACGTGGCTGTGACGCAGGACCTGCAGGGACACAGGGCTATGAGGATGCAGGCCGGACTCCGACCCCGTGACGTGGGGGCAGTGGGGCGAGAGCACCCAGGCCGCTTCCCGGGGCAGGTGCCGCCTTCAGGCCCACGTCAGAGGTGGCCCCACGAGGCGATGGCCCAAAACAGCCCAGCCCTGAGCCGCTGACCCATGCCGCATGAGTGGGGAGAACAAATCCCAGCGCCCAGGCTTGCTGCCAGTCCCCCGAGTCAGGCACCCTGGCTTCCTGTGCCTGGCTGCCCTGGGACCACTGGGCCGTGATTCCTGCTGGGCAAGGGTCAGTGTCTGATGCACTGACTGTGTCCATTGCACAAAGGATGGGGTAGCTGGGGGGGCACCGAGCACTGTGAAGGGAGGTGGGCACTCACAGCTGTGTGCAGGGTTGTGCAAACACACGGTGATCCCCAGTTGCTCACAGTGCTGGTATGGCATTAATTTGGGGTGGGCTCTTTGAGAGCTAGAGCAGACTGTGGAGAGGGGAAGGGGGGGGGGGGGTCCAAAAGGAGCCATCACCAGGGGTGGGTGACCCGATGCCGGGGAGAGGTGGGTGTCCTGTGGGATGCTGGTGCCGCGCGTAGCCCCTACACGGGGACCGGAGCGTCACCGCGGTGCCAACCAACAGCTGGCAGAGGGCGGGCGCTGCATTGAAGCAGAACCCGGCCCTTGTCTGGGGCTGCGCTGGGAGCTGAGCCGGGGCCACGTCGGGCTGCGCCGTGGGCCGCATCCAGGGCCGCGTCAGGTCCGTGCCGGGGCGCACCCGGACGCGGCCGGCGCACACGCGGCTCCGCACGGGGCAGCTCCGGGCCCGGCCCGCACGTGGTCTCGTGGCGCTCTGCCCGCCCAAGGACCCGGTGGGTGCGCCGCCGCCGCCGAGCGGAACCGACCAATAGCAGCGCGACCCCGGCCCCGCGGCGCCGAGCTGACCAACGGGAGCTGCGAGCCGGCTGCTGACGTCACGCGAGGGCGGGCGCTGGGTGTCGGCGGGCTATAAAGCCGAACGGGCGGAGGGCAGCCGCGCCAGTGAGAGGCGGAGGGGCGGCAGAGTGGAGCTGAGAGCGGCGTCCCTCGTGCTGCGTCCCGGCCTTCCCGCCCGGCGCTGTTGGTGAGCGGTGCGGCCCTGCGGGGCCTCGCGTGGCGGCGGGACCGGGGCGGGAGGGGAACGGCCGTTGGCGGTGCGCGGGAAGAGCGTTGAGGCCCCGCTGTCCGCCCGCAGGATGTGCCGCCCGCCGCCATGGAGCCCGGCCCGGCCCTGAACGCTCGCAGCCGCCCGCCCCGCCGTGCAGCCCTATAGCGGCGGCAGCTCCGCGTCCCGCTCGCCGCGCAGCCTATTTAATTCCCCGCCGTAATTTATTGTAGCGTCCCCATATCCCCCCCCCCCGCCCTTCCCCGCCCCGCTCACGCCCCCTCGTAGCCCGGAGCTTTGGCCATGGAGCTGCCCCTCTCCGAGCCCACCGCCGCCCCACTCACCCCCTTCCTATGGATGCTGGTGCTGGGCTTCATCATCGCCTTCGTCCTGGCCTTCTCGGTGGGTGCCAACGACGTGGCCAACTCCTTTGGCACGGCCGTGGGCTCCGGCGTGGTGACGCTGCGGCAGGCCTGCATCCTGGCCAGCATCTTTGAGACGGTGGGCTCCGTGCTGCTGGGGGCCAAAGTCAGTGAAACCATCCGCAAAGGGCTGATCGATGTGGAGATGTACAACGGCAAGCAGGAGCTGCTGATGGCCGGCTCCATCAGCGCCATGTTCGGTGAGTCCCAGTCACGGTGCTGTGACACCCAGGTGTGCCCCGTGCTTCCTCACCCGCCTCCCTTTTGCCTTCCAGGCTCGGCCGTGTGGCAGCTTGTGGCTTCGTTCTTGAAGCTCCCCATCTCGGGTACGCACTGCATCGTTGGAGCGACCATTGGATTCTCGCTGGTGGCCGAAGGGCAGAAAGGCGTCAAGTGGTCCGAGCTGCTAAAAATCGGTGAGCTGGGCAAGGCGATGCTCCAGGAGCAGCGTGCCCACCTTGGTGCGTGGCACCGGCTCCTGGCAGGGCTTCCTTCCCACGGCGGGGCTCCAACAGCACCTCTTTCCTCCTAGTGTTGTCCTGGTTCATCTCGCCCCTCCTTTCCGGCATCATGTCTGCCGTCCTCTTCTTCCTCGT